AAGATTTTTTTTAAGGTTGATTATCATTCTACTGATCAGTTTACACATTAAAAATACTCGTGTTTAACATCAAGACATAATAAGACATAAGGTTGAAAAAAGGCCCAAAAAACCAAATAGGCTGATATGAAATAATGCAATTTTTGTTTTCCAATTTACATCCTTTATCAATTAATCCTGTTGGAAAAAAAGCTTATAAGGCAATCAAATAATAATAAAAAATGTACAAAAAATTGTTTGTTACAGATCATTCAGTTCTCCACAAAAAAAAACAAGGTTAAGTTCCAAAGTTCTTAATGAAATTTTATTTTTAAAAAGAAAGTTTGTTTATGATAATTAAATAATATATAATATATATAAACTGTTACAACACCCAAAACTATTATCATAGGAAAATAAAATGATTTAAATGAAACCAGTTTAACAAATAAAATTTTTTTTTACTGGTTGACTGAAACTTTTACAATTAAATCTCTGTAATTGGCCTGAACTATAAGACAAAATATAACATGTTGATATCTAAATAATTAGTGATTGATCATGTCATTAAAATAAAAATAATGTTTTCTCACAATAATAAAAACTGATGTAAAATTCCAATAATCAAATGAGTGAAATTTATTTGTAGGTCTAAATTTCTAAATCCATTTGGTTAGAATCTATAAATATGATAATTTATAACATAATAAAAATAATGTGGTTACCATTATTATTACTATAAATATATGTGATAATTGTTCAAATAATTGATGATAATTACCATTATTAATATTATCTAAATCAATTTGATGTTCTGTAAATGTGATAATTTATAACACAATAGAAATAATATTAATGCTGGTATTAAATGAATTTTAAAATTAAATAATTGATGATAATTACCAATATTATTATTTGTGTACAGAGTTCTGTATATGAGAAAAATAGTTTCTTGGTGTTTTTTGTTTTTTAATTAAAATATCTTGACTTTTATTGATCAATAAAAAACGAACTTATTTAATTATTTATGTCATATTCTTTATTATCATCATTTTGCTTCAGAATTTTTTACTAATTACTTATCAATTAATGCGAATATTCATACATTTCATCACTTGTTCTACTATATTTGCTTTTATACCTGTTATAAAACCATTTATTCAAATGTTTACGAAATATTTACACTGCTATCTTTGTCTATTAATCTTGTCTTGTCACGTGCGAATAAGGTAATACAAGAGCTTACTCGTAAAAGGACACTTACAAACAATTTAATTAATTAAGGATATATTGAAAAAAATAAAAACAACAATTTGATATCTATTCATTTTAACGATTCGTCGTCAATTGACCAATAACTTTATACAAGATACTTTCCAAATCCTTTGAAATATTTTATTTACTCCATTGACCAAACCTTGTTCTCTCAAGCATTTTTTATAAATCGCACAACACTGCATTAAAACATCCACATGTATGAGAATTTTATTGTTGCGAGTTATTTAAAATTGACAGTTGCAACGTACCAGTATCAGAGTAAATCTTTGTATTTTTGTATATAGGTACCATCAAGGTTGCTTGCCGAAACTTCTTAATGACTGCTGAAACTCTGCCAATCGTCAAAACCCCCAAATGCAAGGCCCTGCTGAAACTCTAATAAAGAATTTGCATAACCTACTGAAATTCTGCCAGAGGAGTTATTACGCAACATAAAATTAAAGTAATTACTAATATAAACAAGAAAATTATTTTAACTCTTCTGTAAATTATTTCTAGACTTAATGATTTAATAAAATAAATAATTTGTAAAACAAATTTCAAAATTAAAAGTTAAAATTTTATTACTGTGTTTTTGTTCAGCATTATTATTATTAACATTTAACAGCAGAATGTTTTTGTTATTTGTAATCATGACAAGATTATAGCTATATTTATTACCATCTATTGTGTAAAAAATTAATCATATATACAATAATCTTCAAACACAAATATTTTAATAATAATAGAATAAATATTATTTCATTTCTTATTGTTGATAATATGGAATTTGAGCATTATTTTTCATAGGATAGTAGAAGAAAGTAGTATCTACACTCCCTAATGGATTGCCTTTTATCATTTAAAAGTTCTCAAGATCTTTTGATATCAAAATTGAATTATATCAAGCAAATCAGAATGTAAAAAAAAATAAAAAAGAAGCTAGAAATACATGGGTTGTACAAAAAGTTTTGAGAAATGCATGTAACTTTATAATTAATTGATTTGGAAATTTTTTTAAATAAAAGTCAGAGTTCACATCTTTCAAATGAAAAAGGCAAATATTTTTTTGGTTGCTAATTATTGAGATATTAAATTTTAAAGATTAACAACAAAAACAACTGGAAATTTTTTGTTGTAAGGTACATAACTTGATGATTTTAAGT